ATGATCCATCCTCCGCAATACCATGAACCATCATCATCATGCATCATCATCATCCATCACCACCATCATCCGTCATCATCATCGACACTGTAGTATCTGCCGTCCGTTTCGATTGCGCGTGTGTTAGACAGCGCTCGGCGCGCACAGGATGCTACGACGATACTTGTTGTGGCGCGGAGGATGATCGCATCATCATAATCAATTCGTCATTCATCGTCATCGTCCGTCATCATGATCACCGTCAAACACATGCATCATCATCATCATCCTCATCATCACCATCATCATCATCACCTGTCATCATCAGCATCCTTCATGACCCTGCATCATCACCATCATCCATCATCCTCGCCCATCACCAGCGTCCTTCGTGAGCTTCCATCATCACATCATCCTCATCATCATCGATCGTAACGCACCATCATCATCCATCATCATCAACCCGTCAATCTTCATAGTGAGAATCATCATCGTCATCATCATTGTGGTCTTCACGTGTCTCTCGCGCGTCAACTGATGATAGTCATGATGGCACAGACTCTCGTCATCATCATCATCCCTCATCATCATCATCATCGTCCGTCGCAGGAAATGATGAAGGTGGTAGAGAGGACGATTCTGATGATGACGATGATGAGGATGATGAATATGACCTTTGCAAAAACGGTCATGATGCTGATGGTGGATGACGACAACGAGGAAGAAGGTGCTGACTATGATGGATGATGACGATGACAACTGATGATGAGATTGATGATGATGATGATGATGAAGGTGCGTGATGGATGGATGATGATGTGATGGTGATGATGATAATGTTTATTTGCATAACGATGAGAATGATTGTTGATGATTTGAATGATAGGTGATGATGATGATGATGATGATTGATGATGGTCATGGCGCGCAGCTTCCGCGAAGGAGCGGAGGCCTGAAACTCATCTTCCAACTTAACTTGGCTCTTCCGCAGTTAACCTGATGCGGCCACAAGTCAATCTGATCCCCCACAAGTTAATCTGACCCCCCTCACAAGCCAATCTGATGCTTCACAAGTCGGAACAAGTCAATCCGTCAGCTCGTGCCAGTGCCCGCCGGCCAGGTTCTGGACCAGCTGGCTGTGCTCCAACAGGGCGCTGATGGGCCGCCCGGCCCAGCAGTCCAGCACGGCGGGGACCTGCCGCAGGAGGAACTGCACGTCGGTGTTCAGCCCCTGCCCAGAGCGCCATGTCCAGCTGCTTGATCTCCTCCACGACCAGCCAGTCTAGTCGCTGCGCGCTGCCCCCGCGCACGTACCTGCGCACGCCCCCAGCCCCAGGTTCTGCGCCGAGACCCGGTGCACCGCCTCGCCCTGCTCGCGCAGCCTTGCCACAATCTTCAGGGCCAGGTGCGTCTTCCAGTGCCCGGCGGCCCGTGAGCAGCAGGAAGTTGCCCGCCAGGCAGTGCTCCACGGGGTCGCCCGCCTCGTTCCCCTTTTTTGAGATTTTTGTTTGCGTGTTGAAGAACACATGGCTGTGTGTGCACCGGTCCCTTCGGTTTGCTTGCATGTGCCCGCTTTCAAAGGGGAATTTGTTTGGATTCTCCGTTTTTTGCTTTATGCACGCAGAGTCCCTTTGGTCGACCGGTGATCCTGCGGAAGGCGATGGTAAATGGGCAATTGCCACGTTTCCAAAGTGCGGCATTTTTTTGTTGCAAGTTTCAAGGCGCATTAAAACCACAAACCACAGGCGAATTGCGTTAAAACTCATCCACGCTGCACGCAAACGGCGTAAAATTGCATCACCATTGTGCCAAGTTTGCGTATTTTTTTTGGTTTTGTTCCAAAGTTTTGTGCAAAATGCAGGTCCTTCCCGCAAGGTCTTAATGGCGCGCAAAGACCTTCGCACAACGCAAGAAATTGCAAGTGACCTGTGCGAAGCAGGATTCAGCGCCTTTGGCAAGCTTACCGCGGGTTGCAGGTCCTTTGCTAAGTTCTTGTTGGTGTTGTGTGGTTGTCTGAACAATGTACGCGTGGACTGTGGTTGCTTGTTGCAGTGCCTTTGTGTTGCGCATGTTTTGCTTGTGCACAAAAAAACGGAAGGCTGGCAATGCAATTTGGATGCAGTCAAGTGGGAGTGCTGCAAGGCAGGGCAAATGTCCTGTTCAGGCTCTGAGCCTCTTTGAGCTGGCTGGCTTGTGGCTGGCTTCTGGTTGGCTTTGGTTTGGCTTGGTTTGGCTGCTTTGGTTTGGTTGGGCTTTGGCTTTGGTTTGGCTTTGGTTTGGTGGGGCTTTGGCTTTGGTTTGGTTGGGCTTTGGCTTTGGTTTGGTTGGGCTTTGGCTGGCTTTGGCTGGGTTGACCCCTTTTTTCCTCTTTTTGGCCAAGACCTGCTGCATTTTAGCGTTCGAAAGTCTCGGCGGACAAGGTCATTATTTCCTGGATGAATGAATGTAAGAATCCTTGTAATGGGTTTGGAGAAACCGGTCCAAAGAGAGAGCCAGGGCTGTGTCTCCATGTTGACACCGTTGGCAATCCACCATGTCCACTCTTCTGAATATCTATTTTACTGTCTTTGTCCTTTCTTTTAGTCAAGGTTTCCAGCTGGGCATTGCTGTTGGAGCCTTTTATTGTGAGTTGTAAAAGTGTAGTCAAAGAAGCGCTGCTGTTTGGACTTTTCGAAGGCTTGGAACGTTTTGTAAGTTTCGATCAGCTGGCGTTTTGAACGTTTCGTTTTGTTTTTGTGAACTTTTCGAGCGGTTCGCGCGGGTCGAGCACTTCGAACATTTCGATCTTTCGAACGTTTTCGAACTTTTCGAACGTGTCGAACTTTTCGATCGTTTGGAACCTTTAAGACTTTTCGAACAGTTCAATCGTTTCAAACTTTCCCGAACATTTAAAACGTTTCGAACCTTTCGAACGTTGGGAACGTTTCGAACGTTTGGAACGCGCCGAACTGTTCGAACTGTTCGAACGTTTCAATCGTTTCGAACGTTTTGGGACGTTTTGAACATTCGGAACGTTTCGAACGTTTGGAATGTTTCGAAGGTTTTAATCGAACGTTTCGGTTTTTTCGAGTTTTCGATCGTTTGGATGGTTTCGAACTTTGCATTTTGAGCGTTCCAAAATGTTCGCGGCCGAAACAGGCCAGAACAAGTTGTTCGCCTCCGAAATGGCCTCGACCCGTTTGAACAAACTTCGCTCTGCCTGTTTCTGAAGTGATAAAACTCAAATGGAGCATGGTGGTGTTGCAGGCTAGAAGTGAATAGGTCCTGATGTCATGATATCAAAGGATAGGTCCAGGGATAGGAGCTCATGCACAATCGATGCCAACGTTGTCTCACAGCCATGCTATGTTTGTTTGCGCGTAGGGTTTCAGTGGCGTTAACAGCGAAGCGTGCGGGGAGTGCGTGGTGCGTCATGGTCAATTCGAGTCAAGGGGCAAGAGTATGTCGATATCCATATCAAAATGGCCTTAGGGCGGGTTGGTGTTTTTGTTTCCACCGTTTAGCAATGGCGAGCTTGTTTCCAAGTGAGGGATCAGATCGGAGAGAACAGTCAAAACATGATCCGTGAGAAGCGGCCGTCCAGCAACGGAGGCCACATAGGCTTGAAAGTGCCGAGGTGAATGCTTGATCCGCGCAGGCTTTTGGATTTTGAAGCTGCCAACCAAAACAACCGGGCGCACAAGTGGTTCAATGATCAGCACATGCTCAGTTTCTTTCCATAAAGACAGCCGACATGTGCCATCTCAAGCTGAGAAGGGCCTTTCGCGGTTTTTGGTCCGAGGTCTTGCTATCGACAGAGAGGACCAAGCCTTTCCCGGTGTGACTCGGGTCGCAGACCCCCCTACCCCCCCCCCCGGGCCCAGCCATCGCTGTGTGGCACTGGCCATGTCGCGGCTAGGTTTGCTGGCGCGGGGGCTTGGAGGGGAACCTGGGGCTTGGACATGGCTGGAGACTGAGGCAGATCATGGGTATCGGACTTAGGTCTGAGAAGTTGAGGGACCAGGGAGTTGAGAGCATAGGCAAAGGCTCTTGCGCCTTGAAGTACATGATGCCCGCAAAGGCAGAAATGGCTTGGTAGGGAAAGGAATAGTCTGTCACTTTTCGAGGCTGTGCGAAAGAGAAGTCGGTGTTTATTTTTTCTTTCGTTTCCTGGACTTACACACGTGGTGCGTCGCCTGTGTCGCCGGCGCGGCCGGCGCAGAGTTTCGCGAGCGGGGCCGCGGTACCTAGCCGTGGCAACAACACCAATTCGAAAGCAGCCCAGAGCTGGCAACACGCAAGATCTTGCAACTTTGACAGGTTGCTTATAGTCAAGAGCGTCCGTGATGTGTTGTCAAGGACGATCAAAGGCTTGCCTAGCAACCTCAGGGAACAAGAACGTTTTCTTTTGTTTTCCAGACAAGTGACTGGCAAAGGTACGCATGTTTTTGATGTTGATCTTTTGATGTAAACACAGTTGCCTTTCCTGAAGACTTGGCATCGCTCATGTTGCCGGCGCCGCCGGCCACGCACAGCTTTGCCAGCGCGGTTTCAACTGCCCCCAGCTGCGGCCGTTTCGGGCGGCCGGCCGCCGGCCTTTGTCAGGCTCGAGTTGAATTGTTTGAGCCTCTTTTCTGGAACCTCTCTTGGCACATTGACAAAACAACATTTTTGGTTTGAGGGGTATCTTGGCTCTTGCTTTCTTGGTTTGGTAACCCTCAAAGGGCGCCCTAAGAAAAGACGGCCCGAGGAAACCAGTCCGCCATTTTGGGTCATGACCTTGGATGCTGAACGGACCCGCACGTTAAGGCTTGACATTATGCAAGCTTACAGGCTCCATAGGAAAACAAGAAACGTGTGGTTCACGAATCTGAATCTTGTGCGTGTCGCGGCACCACGGAGGCATGGCAACTCAAAAGTTTGGTCCAGACATTGAAACCCCAAAGAGAAAAGCCGCAACTTTCATGTACCAGAATACGAACGTTGTCAAAACTCGGGGAACCCTTGACATGGGGCCGCTTTTCAGATGTCGGCGCTGGCAGGCGTCTGGGTTTTGCCTGGCGGCGGCCTCGGCTTCGGCGGCACACGCGCGGCGAGGCTCTCGGCAGAGAGGTTTTCCAGTCAAAATAGGACCTCATGTTTGGTTTTCCTTTAAAACTAACCCCAAAAGGGTGCCGAAGCTCAGACGAACTCCCACGTCCTTGGTGTTTTGCTTGCGAAGGTGCCCTGGGGCGCCTTTACGGGTGCAGCAAAGGGTTGTTGGTTTTGCTTTGGACCCCTCTGCGTGAAGGCTTCTGCTCTTCGCACGTCTTTCTCTGTGACAGTCTGTGTTTCGGCCGGTCGGTGATTACACCTGTGGAGTGGAGCGGTGACCAGTGTCTATTCATCGTAAGGGCTGTGTGTATGTGTGTGGATCTCAAGCATGGCTGCGTGATACAGCGCCATTGTGCATTTGAGCTTTGAGTATGTTTGACCCTGTTGGGCAGTATGCTTCTTACAGCCCTGCGCTAATACCGTGTGTAGGGCTGCGCCCTAATTTCAGGTGCTCGGGTTTCTTGCAGTTTGCGGCGCGAAGGGCTGGGTATGTGATGAGTGCTGGGCATCGGGTATTTGCGTGATGCACGTTGGCCATGGCTTTGCGCCGATTGCTTTGCCTGGAGCGTTTTGTTTTTTGGCTTCCCTCACTTAAGCACTGTTTGCGCTTGCTTTGAGAATTTACAGTCAAACTTTTTGCTATGGGTGTTGTTTGTTTGTTTGTTTGTTTGTTTGTGGCTCGGTCGTCCTGTAAACGCGCGCTTTTTTTGGTTCTTTCCCCCCTGTAATGGCCGCAAAAATCACAGGTTTCGTGCATGTCCGGCCACTACCACGTAAAACGCGGGAATTATATGGAAATTCACACTCACGATAGGCACGCCCGCTCAAGTGCACCCGCGCAGCACTGCATCCATGCCAGCCAAATGGTAAGAACACCCGTTCAAGTGCACCCGCGCAGCACTGCATCCATGCCAGCCAAATGGTAAGAACACCCGTTCAAGTGCACCCGCGCAGCACTGCATCCATGCCAGCCAAATGGTAAGAACACCCGTTCAAGTGCACCCGCGCAGCACTGCATCCATGCCAGCCAAATGGTAAGAACACCCGTTCAAGTGCACCCGCGCAGCACTGCATCCATGCCAGCCAAATGGTAAGAACACCCGTTCAAGTGCACCCGCGCAGCACTGCATCATGCAGAAATCACCCCAAATGAAGTGGATCACTTGCTCGAAACCCGGGTAGAAGAAAGTTAAGGGATAATGCCAACAAATTTAATGGGTGGGGGTGTCAGCCTTTTTAATTCTGTACATGGTTCTGGGAGTGCGACCATTTAAATAACAGGTTTTGATTTGGAGTCACCTAAGGATAGGCCGTGCTCTTGCAGTTCCACTCGGACATCCGGCCCACTTCTGCTGGACTTGCTCGAAACCTGTGAAAAACCATATGATTTGCGCGTTTTTGCGGCCATTACAGGGGGGAAAGAACGAAAAAAAACGCGCGTTTACAGGACGTCTGAGCGTTGTTTGTTTGTTTGTTTGTTTGTTTGTTTGTTGGTTGGTTGGTTGGTTTGTTTGTTTGTTTGTTTGTTTGTTTGTTTGTTTGTTTGTTTGTTTGTTGGTTTGTTGGTTTGTTTGTTTGTTGGTTTGTTTGTTTGTTTGTTTGTTTGTTTGTTTGTTTGTTTGTTTATTGGTTGGTTAATTGGTTGGTTGGTTGGTTGGTTGGTTGGTTGGTTTGTTTGTTTGTTTGTTTGTTTGTGCAGCCCTGAATGGTGGCAGGGAACCAACCACGGAACGGTCAGACACAAGTTGGGCGAAACCCAATTGTCGACAGCGGGCCAAAGCTTCCTTTTCGGGCGCCCGAGCACAGGAGCCACAATCAAAACCTGGTTGGGAAGAATCCAAACCGTAAATAGGTGCGGCCCCCCACTTGGTTCGTTTGGGTAGACCCCGTTGAAAAGGAAATTGGTCATAACTTACAGACAACGAAGCTGGTGGCGCATACCAGTTTGATGGACATGGTCTGATGCCATGGGTGGTCGTCATTGCGTTTTGGCGTTCCTTTGGCAAGTGGTTTTGGCGCCGTGTTCCTTTCACAGATCCAGCCAGTTGTTTTCCGGCCACCAATCTGTCATGTGAATCATGTGACATTTTTGGAGGCAACTAGAGCAGGAGGTTATCAGAAATCAGGATCCAAGTTGAGGGGTGCGAGGATTTCCCACAACCTATTTTGGTTTGGCATTCGACGGACAACTTGTTTCTTGGAAGTGAAGTGAGGTGTGGGCTCCTTCAAAGATCTCTGAGACAGTCCTACATTGTTTAGGCTGGCCGGTATATGTTGCCGCATAGTTGCGGTGTTGTAATGCTCACTGAAGCTTTTGAAAAGGCAACTTATGCCTTGGTATTGCCACGCACGTGCGCGCGCAGACCTTGCACACGAGGCCAGGGGTGCCGCATGAGGGCTGGAAGGCGAGGGATGGCCGGTGCAATTGGTTGGCTGGCTGGCTGGCTGCTTGCCTTTTCGGCCTGGTTGTTTGCGTGGACCAAAGAAGGGGCTTTGGCCAGTCAAACTTGGTCAAAGCCGAAGGGCTTGGAGTGCCCCTGTTTCCGTCGCTTCTCAAGTTTCTGGACCTTTCACAGTTAGGAAGCATGTCCGTGTGCTGCACAAATGCTAGGCGGTGGCGCAACTTGAGCCACCTTGTGGCGCAGTGTCATGCAGCGCTGGGCGGGAATCGCGAGCGTTCATGGAACTGGAGATTTTCTTGGGGCAATTGCACATGAGGCACAGTTGCTTGCATGACCATCTCAACAGTGACGCATGCCTGTAAGTAGTGGTCAACAACTGACAAGAGTCAGCCCCCCTGCCCACACTTCGGGTACGTGGCTTTCAGTTCACGTACTGGTTTCGGCACATGAGGTAGCAAGGGCATGCTGAGGCCTGGCAAAGCACAAAAAGACCTCCCACCGAAGCAGACAGAGCACCAATCCACACAAGGCAGCTTCGTTTGGCCTGGTCTTTTCCGAACTACCAACCGCTCCCGCACGTAGTTGAGGTTGCAAACACAGAAGCTGCGCGTGAAGATCCAGATCACAAGCTCGAGCAAGGCGACGCAAACCTGCGCGGTACCATTTTTATCCCAACTCTTCGACACTGTGTCGGATGCCCATGCGCGCGTGGCATCCGCGGCTTCCGTGGGGAAATTGGGCGTCACACGCGGCAAGAGTCTCCTCTCGGGCACTTGGTGCGAGAAGACTGCTTCCACCACCAGCCACTTCGAAGAAACAATCAGTAATGGCATTTGAATCCCAAGGAGCAGGGAAGCTACATTCCAATCAACGAAATCCGTGCTGGAGTCATGGTGCTGGTAGAGGTGTGCGCGACCACAGCAGGGCGCATCAGACAACTCCAGTGCTGCACAACATGAAAGTGGCACTAGGGTATTCAATGTAACCGGGCTCTTGAGTGTGACACGCACATGATGCTCAGTCTCATGATCGATGCCGTTGCGCTCGCAGGGCTGAGCTGCTGCTGGGCTCAGCCAGCCAACCACGGCGGCAGCTGCTCACCGAAGCGGGCCTGCGCTTTGAGGCGCGGATTTTGGGTAGAAGCACCGCTGATCTGGGCGAGTTACTTGGGGTCTGCTCCATTCTTGGTTCTGGTGTAGCCCAGGGTTTAGCCAAAACACGTCACCAAAGTTTTCTGGTTAAGGAACCTCACCCGCAAGGAGGGGTCCATTCTTGGGGAATTAGACCAATGGACTGGACCAGACTCAGAATTTAGATCGCAGGCGTGCATCTCTGCTAGATGGTTTCCGCAACACTTTTTGTTTCAGAAGGGGCTCCTCTGACTCAGCCAGTGATTTGCTATTCTCAGCAGGGCGATGCGATCATACTTTCCGAAACATCTGTTGTTGTGATTCAAAGAATGGTCAAATGACTTAGGTCGGGTTCTCCACCCCGCGCCCCGTGAAAACAACATCACTGTCACTAGCTTCCTTTCGTATCGCATGCACTTGTATCTGAAGCTCGGTTGTGGTCGTGTCCTCTAGACCGGCCTTTCTAAGACAAGATCTTTTCTTTCCCGTCACTGTCTCCCAGGGTCGGGTTATCCGCACCGGCATGCCTACCGCAGACTCACCTTTCTACTTTCGCAATGCAGTGATTAGTCTTCCAGCTCGCTTGTCTGGATCTATTCCCTTTTGTCGGTGCACCACCCTGAGTCTGGAGCCCACAGAGGTGCCAGCCATTTGGAGGGAGCAGCCGAGAGCTAATTTTGTGTGGGAGTGTAACCAAACAAGTCTTGGTTCAGGCGAGTCCCAGATGGGCTGATGTATTGGGCGAGGGCAAATTCTTTTTTTGCCATCCCATCTCGTTCCGTGCGTACGCGTGCCTTGCGTCCAGAGCACGCGTGCCATCCGTCCGATTCGTCCCATGTGTCGTCCGCATCGTTGAGCTATGGGCCTGGAAATCAGTTTAGCAGCACACACACACAACAAAAAGCAACAACAACAGTTGCCTTTGGGTTCTATCAACATCATTGTACAGGTGGTTTTACAGCCAGCTCTACGCACCCCATGAAGCCAGGCAAAAAGAACCACCTGCTGAAGTGGCCAACAGGCACTTTAGCCACTGCTTTTGTGTGGGCGATGCCCGTAGATCCGGTAAATAGAGTAGACTTCTGAGGGTCTGGTCGGCCATGTGAGGTGGTACAGCTTATGGCCTTAGCTGACTTATGAGGTTTGGCCAACATAGTGAGTAGTCTATGCCCAATTTGGGAAGGACCTTACTAAAGTTTTTATGTCCTTTAGGGCAACTTACCAATCGTGTACTTTGACCATGGCTCATATGAGGTTCGCTCAACTTTCTCGCAGTTTGTTGTCAGTTGAGGAGGGACGTGGGGGAATCAACACAACCGTCTGCGGCTCATATGACATGCTGCAGATGGGCACCCTTTAAGGCAAGCCCTTCTAAAAACTGCCCTGGATGTCAGAAGGGCAAGCTCCATGAATGGGAACACGGTCCACGAATCTCGTGGTAGCCTAGTAGCGGATTACATATTCTCGAGCCCTCCCATGTCGGCGCCTCTCATGTCGGACTCAGAATAAACGCATGTCCTTCGAAAGAAGGAGAAACACTTCGAAAGAAGGAGAAACACTGGATTCAAAGTACATTTGTTTTCGTAGTTGCGCGTGACATGGGAACGCGTCAAGATCAGTCAGGAGAACCCTTGGCCGCTCAACATGTACTGAGCGGGCTCCAGCTTGCAAGGACATTCATGTGCTCGAAGAGAACTCGTCCAGTGGGCCTTTGGGTCAGGTCCGAAGGCCGGACATTGACGAGAAGGGCCTGGGTGACCGTGCCGGGGATCCCGAGAAGTTGGTGCGGCAGCTGGCGGAAGCAAAGGCGGACGTGCCTTGGCATTTGGATTGAGGAACCCAAGGATCGCTTGGGATATCTGGGTGTGTCTTGCTTTTTCTCCTCTTTCCAGGTCCCTTTTGGTTGGACCAGGGACCCCTCAAATTCATGATGCTCCTTTTTTCTCTTCTTTTTCTGGACATCTTTCAGGTCGCTAGGAATTCTGAAGCAGTCGCAAGATACGGTCTGAAGGTTGGACGGCCTTTGGGCTTTCTAGAGTGCAACTTGATGGACAAGTTACTTCCTTCTTGAGCAATCTGACGGCCTTGTTGATCTGTGTGTGCGACAGAACAGGGTACATTCAACACATTTCCAACCCAAATTGTTTTGAAGTTTCTGTCTGGGCGGTGGGGCAACACCCACCGGGTCCATGGCTCCACTTGCTAATTGCTGGTTGCCGCGCGAATTCGTGACATCATCATTTGAAAACAGCCCCAGATCATCTAGGTTTCGCTCGGAATCAGGGAGCTCTGACGGACGGTTTTACGTTCGTTTTCCTGACCATGGAGAGGCTCAGCTTGTGACATGCCCAGACCAGTCAGCTCAGGCGCTGCTCCCAACCTTGGAAGGCGAGCAGCGGCTGTTGCTGACAGCGGACCAGGCCAGGGTGACCTTTTCCCTGACCCTGCTGGCAAATGCATGCATGCTTGACACAACGTGCTGGCTGGTCAATCTGGTCAGATTGATGGTTGCGTTTGTGTGGCACGTGCTGCATGGTCAAGTTTCGCCCCGTTTTTTCATAGATTACAACGGCTTGCAGGTGTCAGAATTGCCCCCGCTATGGTCTTTCACTTGAAGGATGCTTGGAGGTGTGACGTTTTTGGTTTTTTTTTTCCTCGGTGGCCCAAGAGGGCAACAAATCATTCTGGTGGTGTACAGCCGTACTGACACACATCACATATGCATTATATTTCAAAGAATTACATGGCATTACGCTATGCTAGTCAGATTACGTCTTGTTGTGTTACTGTATATGTTACATTAAATTATGTTACATCCACTTCCGGCACGCTCCGTTGCGCTACATTGCGCCATTTGATGTGACGTTATGTTTTATTACATGATACATTGCGTTTGATTGTGTTGCGTTGCGTTACGTTTTATTACATACTACAGACTGTCATGAGATACATTGCACTAGGTGATGTTTTGTCATCATACCTCACATTGCATTGCATTTCATTACGCCACATCACGTCATACTACACTACATCACGCTGCATTAATTGCATAGCATTGCATTGCATTGCATTGCATTGCATTACATTGCATTACATTGCATTACATTGCATTACATTGCATTACATTGCATTACATTGCATTACATTGCATTACATTGCATTACATTGCATTACATTGCATTACATTGCATTACATTGCATTACATTGCATTACATTGCATTACATTGTACTACATACACAGTTGTAAACATTGATTCATCTTCCAAATCAAGGCCTTTTGCTGGGATGGCCAAAGAGGAAACCACCATGAGCCAGTTATATATCTGGATTGACTTGACTGGTTTGATGCGCCGTGCGTTCATGGCCCAATTAGTGGCAAGGTCCGCATGTTGGCCGACAAAATCCACTGGGGAATGCTGAAGGAGCAAGAATTCTGGGAGAGAGAGAGAGAGAGAGTTGTGAGGTGGGTTCGATCGTTGAACCATTGTTTGTAAGTATTCAATTGTATCAGATGGCAATATGTTTACAGGGGCAGTACATGTCCATGTGGATCTACGTGCTTACTTCTTTTGGGTGTCTCCAATCATAGGGTATCAGTTGGAGCCTTTTATGTTTCCTCGTCCGCCCGGAACCTCCCACAAAACGTGCCAGTCATGCAGATCTCCGGGCGTCACGGGGCACCACCAAACGGTTCTCCCTTCCAAATTGGGTCAGTCCTATCTCTCGGTTCTTTAGGTGGTCACCTTCCGTGGCGCCATCAGAGAGAAGCCGAAGGACTTGGCAGAGGCACGCGTCGGGGTTCAATTGCCGTGTTTTGTTTGTTTGGTTGTTTGCTTAACTGTTTGTTTGCAATTGTTTTTGTATTGTTCCCCACATCTTTGTGTGGGGTTCTTACTTTTACCGCTGCGCGCCCGA